ATCCATGCTTATGGCCGCATTCAGCCCTTGCTCCTTTCAGCCTGTTATTGAATTGTAGAGGCTAAGTGGCAAACCCTGGGAACCTGACTGCTGGAACTCAACTGCAGTACCATGGTCTGTTGGCGGACAACCAAAGCACAGACAGAAGTAAAACATGGTTTATCAAGGTACGTGTGTTATATGACTCATAGATTCATTCTAGGGTGAATTTCCGCTTAAGGTTAGGAGTGAGTTAAGGAATAGATCAAGAGGTATGGATTAGAATAGATTATGGTTTTCATAGATTAAGTTATGGTATGTGTTGTGGGTGTTAAGTGTTAGAGACCCATTTTAGGGGTTAGGTAAAAGCACAGTAAAACTCACATGCTAAAATCTCAAATAACCTTTACCATGTTATTTCCAATTCAAAATTCATTTTCAGTCTTTTTAAAGCAGAAATAAAGCTATAGTACTTACATCCTCTCCAACCAGGGGTGGACTGACAACTCATGCTACCCTTCGTTGAAATACATGCCTGACTCTCAGACCATGAATCCTTGCCCTCTTAACCACTTAGACACACATCCTTTTTGCCACTATCCAGCTATGACCAGGGGCGGACTGACAACTCATGGGGCCCCCGGGCAATAGGGGATCATGGGTTCCCTGTGTCCTTGTCCAAACTCAAAAAAGCCTATGAAAAAGGTACCAGGGGCATCTCATGGGGCCCCCTACTGACCCTGGGACCTCGGGCAGTCCCCGAGTTTCCAAGTAGTCAGTCCGCCCCTGTCTCCAACTGTTCGATGTCCACATGGCGTCCCTTCCCGGCACCGGCATTTTCTCCCGTGTTTCTTCTGAATGCTGGTCTTTGGCCATCTTGATTGGCCAGTGTGTGCAGGAGTCAGTCATCTCGGGACACAGGTCCTGTGCTTGTGGTGTAAATTGAGCTGCACATGTGCAGTTGAGTGTACAATGTACATCTTAAAAGAACACTGCGAGCAGTCAGGTAGATTTATTTTATTGCAGAAGAGTAATTACATGTCTCTTGTGCGATAAATAGCCTGCCTGCTTTGTCATTTTTCATTTAGTTCCACTTTAAAACTGATCTCCAGGCAGGTATTAAACACTAAAATGAATGCAGCTCTGTATTCAGTAATACATTAATAAATGTAATTATTATAGAAAACATTGTAGCCTGTCAGCTGTGTATTATTAAAGGACACACATGGACATGTTAGGCCTGGTATTGTTTTGCAATAAATATTATTTTTTTTACATACGGACATTAGCTTGATTGTTATAAATCACACTTAAAATTCCTTATCGTATCACGGTACTTTTTCTAATGTATTATTTTTTTTTAAACTTTAATTAATTTTTGGATCCGAGTTGCTTTTCTTCTACTCCCCCGCTCTAAATTCTCCTGTGCAGATTTGTGAATATTGAAGGTGTTGAAGCAGGATTCTCACATACTTACTATTCAGATGTGTGACAAATGATTTTTCCAAAGAATATTCTTATTATTCCTTCTTTTCATATTTTTATATGGTACTTTGACTCCATCAGTAGATTTTATTTTATGCTTGTGCATTCACACATAAATTACTAAGGCAGATAGCGGAGAGAAGAAAAAGAATCAGAAATTCAATGTGCTTTGGATTGAGGCTAGTACACACTATAGAAGCATGTGCTCTATTCACTTTAACAGTTATAAGATGGATCCAAAAACATCAAAAAGAATAATTTTTTTTTCGGTGTGCCATACATTGCATTAAAAAAAACTCACTTGTTAGTAAATTTGACATATATAAACTTAAGATTGAGCTTCCATACGTATCACAGGCACATAGTTAATACCATGAGGATATGCTTTAGTTTACTATGCACAATGGATATGCCATGCTGTGAACATATTTTTTATCACATAGGTCCAATGTGTGAAAATGATGTTTTTTTCATTATTACACATGCGTTATAATTAGACTCAGTTCACATAAACTCTTGAAAAGATCACACTACCATTCATATAGATTGAATGTAAGAAGAAGAAAAATAACAGGCTCAAAGGAATTTCAAAGACAATGCCCCCTTCTTCTTAATTAAAAAAAAAAAAAAAAAAAAAAAACATTTCTTTGAATATATATATATATATATATATAACATTTTCTTTGAATATATATATATATATATATATATATATATGTGTGTGTGTGTATATATAATTTATTAAGCAGAAGGGGGCATTGTCTTTGAAATTCCTTTGAGCCTGGTATTTTTCTTATATGTATATATATATGTATATATATATATATATATTTTGGGTAGGTTTTTTTTTATAGCAATGATGTGGGTGAAGTGCACAACTGTAATCAATCACAGTGCATAACAATCAGGCCCTCCCAAAGGCCATATATAGAAAAAGAGAAGAAATGGATTGCTGCACACCAAAAACTTTAATGCAAAAAAATCACCACATGAAAAGTGATGAAGGATGGACAAAACCATATACAATAGTGTTCAACAAACAGTTTTGGGCTATTAAGATATCACCCTTCTTCAGATCAGAACACATATTGAAATGAGAAATGCTACTATAATCTATTTATATAAACATCATAATTGGAATCAATTATATAATTAACCACAAATTAAATACAAATCAAGTAAACATCTTCTGGTAAATGTGGTTGTTTCAGAGTGAAAATTCTATCAAGAAGAAAAGTCTCTATGTCAAAGACATGGAATTCAAACATAAGTACCTGTTATAAAAAGCACATATATACACCTAAAAAAAATGCCAAAAAGGAAAAAAGAATCAGAAAAAAAAATTCTATCAAGAAAAAAAAAAAATGAATATATATACTGTATATATATATATATATATATATATATATATATATATATATATAGGTCTGGTGCTTCCACTAGGCATACTAGGTGGCCGCTTAGGGCGCACTGCCATCTAGGGTGCCTATATATATATATATATATATATATATATATATATATACCGTATATAATTTTTAATTTTTTTTTAAGCAGAAGGAGGCATTGTGTTTGAAATTCCTTTGTGCCAATAATTTTGTTATCTTCTATTTACAACATTCAGTAGCTATATATGGTAGAATGATCTCTTCAGGAGCTTATGTGAACTGAGTCTAATTATAACGCATGTGTAATAATGAAAACAACATAATTTTCACACATTGAACCTATGTGATGAAAAAAAAAAAAATGTGCACAGCCTGGCATATCCATTGTGCATAGAAAACTAAAGCATATGGTATGAACTATGTGCGTGCCATGCTGTGTGGAAGCATGCTCAATCTTCAGTATAATTTACTAACAGATGTGGTTTATTTAATGCAATGTATGGCACACCTAAATAAATGTTGATTTTCTCTAATGATTTTGGATCCATCTAATCACTGTTAAAGTGAACAGAGCATATCCCTCTATAGTGTGTACTAGCCTCAATCCAAAGAGTGTGATTTCTGAATCTTTTTCTTCCATCTGAATATCTGCATTAGCCACTTCTGATGGGTTATCCCTGACACCACAGCTGTGCATGTTTTCCTAGGAGACTTTGTAGAGGTGGTTGTGTCCTTTTCCTCCACTCAGGCCTCAGATTACACTCAGCTCCCCAGTCTGTGCTGTGCTGTTTCTGACATAAGATCCCTGCCCCCATGTGTGCTAGAGCTCAGAAATTGTGTGTAATTTTGTATAAAATGTGTGCTTTAGAAGGCCATAGAGAAGACAGGGCTGCAGAAAAACAGATACAGTTTAGTAGGAGGATTACGATACAACTGCAATTCATAAATTATCAATTGCATCTCTGTTTTCACCATGTACTGTAATCTCATAATCTGATCAAAGGAAATAGGATCACATTCATGAATGAAGCATTTTACTCCTGTCAATTGTTACAATAAGGATCAATAATATTCCATCCTGGCTGATTGATTCCGTTTGATTGAACCTGATCAAAAGTGAGTCTAAATTGATCATTAGGGAACTAATGTCTATTCAATTGCATTCGGATCCAAACATTTTGAGCGAATCAAACATCAATTGGTTAAAAAAATCAAAGCAATTATGGTTTCATGCACATGGCCACAAATTACCATGTAGTATACAGTAGGGATGTATTTTCTCATCAAGGCGTGAAAGGCGGAGCATGTAGCTTCCACCAGTGGGCCTGTGCGCATCAATGGCAGGTGGAGGCTATATGCAGATATCTGCAAATAAATACAAATGTGAGTGGCTGCGTGATTGCAGGGCCAAATGCAGACAATCTCAGATTCACATGTACTTTTTTATACTACATACAGCCACCACCTGCCATTGACTTGTACCGGCTGATTGATGATGTCTGCAGGGCTACTGTTAAAAATCATGGGGCCCTGTAAAAAATCTACCTGACAAGTAACCCCCCCCCCCCCCCCCCCCCCCCCATTGTGGGTGCATGTACATGTATACCCCCCCCCCCCCCCGAACACAGACAGTTTGCATTTAGGGCTGGTTTACACTATAGAAACGCAGTCTGGATGCGTTTTTGCATGCACATTTTTTATGCGTTTTCGGAACTTTCCAGTGCATTTTTTATGCGTTTTTGATGCGTTCTAGTGCATTTATTATGCATTCCAGTTCATCCCCCCCTCTTTTTCTTCAACTTAAATAGGAACATGTGCATTCCAGTGCATTCCAGCTGGGTAAAACTAATTTCTTACAGCTTTGTAGTGGGGGACATAAAAAAAGTAGGGGAGGAAAGAAAAAAAGGAAAAGGGGTCAGGTCCAGAGTCAGGGTCCGGCAGTCTACCTGATGGGGGCACATTATTATTATTATTATACAGGATTTATATAGCGCCAACAGTTTGCTCAGCGCTTTACAATATAACGGGAGACAATACAGCAACAATACCATTCAATACAAGAGGGATAGGAAGGCCCTGATCCTGGGAGCTTACAATCTAGGAGACATGGGAATAATATATCAAATGGTAAAAGCAGATCAGCTCAGAAGCAGTAATGTAGCATCAAAGTTTGGAGGGAGGTAGAGTTCTACCCATGACTACCGGATCTTAGAATATTTTGTGACTCTATCTTGAAGTATAGCTTTGACCTTAGCGTGGATCATTGATTGTGTCACCCTATTTTTACAGCCCCCAGCGATCACCAAGTATCACTGACGGGGGAGATACTTATAGGCAGGGGCGGACTGACCATTTGGAAACTCGGTCAGTAGGGGACCCCATGAGAAGCTGATTGGCTAATGTGCACCAAATTCTGCACTCTCCACTTTTAGTAAATCGACCCCACACCAGGGACGGACTGACCATTTGGAAACTCGGGCACTGCCCGAGAGCCCAGGGTCAGTAGGGGGCCCCATGAGATGCCCCTGGTACCTTTTTCATAAGGCTTTTTTGAGTTTATGCAAGGACACAGGGGCCCCATGATCCCCTATTGCCCGGGGGCCCCATGAGTTGTCAGTCCGCCCCTGCTTCTGTGCAGGAAAAATGCAGCATGCTCTACTTTTTTCTCTGCATCCGGAACGCACTGGAACTGCAATCATTGATGTGAACAATGAAATTGACAACCATGTAACCTACTTTGTTTTTTGGATGCAGAAAAAAAGCGACTGAAACATATAGTGTGAACTGGCCCTTAGGACCGCTCACCCACACCTGCATACCTGCGGCTGTGTTTGGGCAGCTGCTGTGATCTTCATAGAGCAACGGGCAGCTCCAGCTACATGAACAAGCCACTCATTCACAAAGCCAGAGTACCAGTGGGAATGAGCCTTGAGCCCAGTGCCCGTCCGTCTGAGGGTCGTGTGTACATGCATCTCCATGCAGTGTCACCCGGTGTGTTTTTTGGACAGAGTCAGGGATTTTTTTTAACACAATAAGTGGCGTTTTTAGTTCTACAGACTTCAATGGAAACTCAGCAGAAAAGCATATAGTGTATTTTTGCTGCGTTTTTGCCGTGTTTTTGATGTATTTTGGATGCATTTTGCGTTTTAAATCTTCCTAGAAACACAAGAAAAAAAAGCAAGATGCTGAAAAAATTAGGCAAAAACGCAGGTGAAATAATCCGGCTTTCACCTGGTGCGTTTTATGGAAAGGGTCAGGGACTTTTTTTAATGGAAAAAGTTGTGTTGTTGGTTCTATAGACTTCAATGGAAATGCCACAGAAAAGCATGTAGTGTGTTTTACTGCGTTTTTGCTGCGGTTTATATTTTAAATCTTCCTAGCAACAAGGAAAAAAAATGCAAAACACATCAAAAACACGGCAAAAACGCAACGCAAAAACGCAACGCAGAAACGGCTCAAACGCAAACTGCATAGGTGTGAACCAAGCCTTAGAGCCGTCTTGTGACTTTTATCAGTGTCCAGCAGAGCACATGTTAAAACTTGTATGAGGAGTTTTTGTTCTGCTCTAGTAAGATGCAGAACCATTGACCCTCTGTCTAGACCAGGGGTAGGCAACCTGTGGCTCGCTAGCTGTTGTGGATCCACATTTCCCATGAGGCATTGCAACATTACAAAACTGACAGTTACAGCTATAACTTGCAGAGGCATGATGGAACTTGTAGTCCTGCAACAGCTGGAGAGCCGCAGGTTGCCTACCCCTGGTCTAGACAGTGCTGATTGGCCCTGTGCTGATCACATACACTCTCCCAAAAAAACCCAAAAAAACCTCTCTAGCAATACACACCAAACTGAGCACGATGTGTCTTATCAGAAAATAAGAGGGGGACACTGGAAGAAGGGGAGGATCAGAGAAGGCAGGATCAAGTATCCTTTTTACACAATGCAGAGGATTAACCCCTTAGGTTCCACAGTGAGTATAACAAGCATGCTTTACTGCATATACAGACTGATTTACTGTTGGGGGTTTAGTAACACTTTAAAACAAAGATTCTCGCCATCTTCGTTAAGTTTTTTTACTCTTTTTTTTTCTTTTTTTGATCATCATCATCAACCAATGTCGACATGCACCTGTCAAACGTATTTGTATCAAACAGGATTTAAAGTAGTAGAAGGAAAGGCGTTGAGAATATCATGTCAGGGAAGGAAATGCCGTGGCTTGGTTAATGGTATCAATATTTATGAGTATACAAAGAGCAGCACAATCATAAAGTCATTTGCCATATAACTGGAGAATGTGAGAGGTACAAGTGTACTCTGCATTATTAAAGTGTTGCTGTAGTTTGCTGTAAATGGAATTTGGTAGATGAGCTGAGTAAAACAGGACCTACTCACTTTAAATTGGAGACGAAGATTTAATTAACCGACTCGGTGAATCTGCTGAATCTAAATTGCAGGCAGTGAGCTAAAGGGCACCTGAAAAAATGTATTTTTCAAACCGGGTGTGTTATACTCCGTCTACCGAAGGACTGCGCGGGGCAGGGGCGGACAGACAACTCATGGGGGCCCCTGGGCAATAGGGGATCATGGGGCCCCTGTGTCCTTGCCCAAACTCAAAAAAGCCTATGAAAAAGGTACCAGGGGCATCTCATGGGGCCCCCTACTGACCCCGGGCCCTCGGGCAGTGTCCGAGTTTCCAAATGGTCAGTCCGTTCCTGGTGTGGGGTTGATTTACTAAAAGTGGAGAGTGCAGAATTTGGTGTACATTAGCCAATCAGCTTCAGCTTGTTCAATTAAGCTTTGCCAATAAAACCTGGAAGCTGATTGGTTTCTATGCAGAGCTGCACTTGATTTTTCACTCTTTAATTTGAGAAAATCTTCCCCAGGGCTTTTTTTCAGTGGGAAACCAGTTCCGGCCCCTCTAGCATTGAAAGTTTATAAAGGCAAGGGGTGCTGAGGTGTGCTGGAGGGTCTAGGGCTGGGGTAGGCAACCTGCAGCTCTCCAGCTGTTGCAGGACTACAAGTTCCATCATGCCTCTGCAAGTCATAGCTGTACCTGTCAGTTTTGTAAAGTTGCAATTAGGGGCGGACTGACAACTCATTGGGCCCCCAGGCAATAGGGGATCATGGGGTCCCTGTGTCCTTGCCCAAACTGAAAAAAGCCTATGAAAAAGGTACCAGGGGCATCTCATGGGGCCCCCTACTGACCCCGGGCCTTCAGGTAGTGCCCGAGTTTCCAAATGGTCAGTCCGCCCCTGGTTGCAATGTATCATGGGAAATGTAGTTCCACAACAGCTAGAGAGCCACCGGTTGCCTACCCCTGGTCTAGGGGATATATTGTCACTTGGAGGTGCACTTATTTTGCTTGGGGGTTGCTGGGAGGGATCTACGGTTGAGGAAGGGGTCTATGGTTGAAGCAGGGGCGTTCCAAGGCAGATGTGGGGGGTGTGCGTTGCACCAGGTGACACCTATTGCACAGGGTGACACTGGACCCCACTCCACAAAAAAGGTAAGCTGTAAAGCAAGCTGACAACCCTCGCAGGATGGATCTGAACTGCGGATTGAGCATAATGGATCGGAGTCTGATCCATTATGCTCCCCAATCCGCAGATCCGATCCATCCTGCAGGGATTATCAGCTTGCTTTACAGCTCACCTTTTCGTGGAAGGAGGAGAGGATAATGGATCAGACTCTGATCCATTATGGTCAATCCACAGATCTGATCCATCCTGCGGGGATTGTCAGAGGGGGTAGGGGAGAAACCAAGGGACAGTTTTCGGAGGTGGGTGGGGAAATCAAGGGACAGTTCTTGGAGTTGAGTGGGGGGAGAAACCAAGGGACAGTGCTCGGAGGTGGGTGGGGGGAGAAACCAAGGGACAGTTCTCAGAGGTGGGTGGGGGGAGAAACCAAAGAACAGTGTTCAGAGGTGGGTGGGGGAAGAAACCAAGGGACAGTGCTCGGAGGTGGGTGGGAGGAGAAAACCAAGGGACAGTTCTCAGAGGTGGGTGGGGGGAGAAACCAAGGGACAGTGCTCGAAGGTGGGTGGGGGGAGAAACCAAGGGACAGTGCTCGAAGGTGGGTGGGGGGAGAAACCAAGGGACAGTGCTCAGAGGTGGGTTGGGGAGAAACCAAGGGACAGTTCTCAAAGGTGGGTGGGGGCAGAAGAAGAAACCCAGGGACAGTGCTCAGAGATGGGTGGGGGAGAAAAACCAAGGGACAGTGCTCAGAGGTGGGTAGGGGAGAAACCAAGGGACAGTGCTCAGAGGTGGGTTGGGGAGAAACCAAGGGACAGTGCTCAAAGGTGGGTGGGGGCAGAAACCCAGGGACAGTGCTCAGAGATGGGTGGGGGAGAAACCCAGGGACAGTGCTCAGAGATGGGTAGGGGAGAAACCAAGGGACAGTGCTCAGAGGTGGGTAGGGGAGAAACCAAGGGACAGTGCTCGGAGGTGTCTGGGGGGTGGAGGCAAGGGGGTGACTCAGATGTTGGGAGTATCTACACCTATTCTCTGAGAAAATAAACCCTGATCAACTCCATTATGTCTACTGAGGGCCATACATACTTAAAGGAGAAGCACAGCCAAAGCTCGTTCTGCACTTTTGTGACTCGTATTCAGTTGACAACATAATGTCCCCGCCTGAAGGTCACCTTTTCTTAACGCGTTTTACTGACAAACCGCTTGACCACAAGGAACCTTGTAATCACTTCATGTTTCGGTGAGATGCATTAAGGAGAGGTGACCTCTGGGTGGGGACATTATGTTACCAGATGTACAATAGACAGTTCAATAAAAACTGATAGAAGATTGCTATAACTGCTGATGAGAAACGGTATTTAGCAGTTTATATTTACTAAAATAGTTGCATTTCCATGTTGTGTGTACTGTGGGACAGTGTTTTTCAACCTTTTTTGTGCAAAGGCACACTTTTTTCATGAAAAAAATCACGAGGCACACCACCATTAGAAAATGTTAAAAAAAATTTATTGAAAAACTTTTTGACTTGAGGGCCGCAATGGGTTCATATATTGGACCCGGGGCCGGACCAAGAGTAGATGAATGATGTGTATGTGTCATCCATAGTAAGTATAGTAATATTCCCCCATAGTAAGCATAGTAATTAATCCCCCATATAGTAATTCACCCCCCCATATAGTAATTCATCCCCCATAGTAATTCATCCCCCATAGTAATTCATCCCCCATAGTAATTCATCCCCCATATAGTAATTCATCCCCCATAGTAATTCATCCCCCATAGTAATTAATCCCCCATATAGTAATTCATCCCCCATAGTAATTCATCCCCCATAGTAATTAATCCCCCATATAGTAATTCATCCCCCATAGTAATTAATCCCCCATATAGTAATTCATCCCCCATAGTAATTCATCCCCCATATAGTAATTCATCCCCCATAGTAATTCATCCCCCATAGTAATTCATCCCCCATATAGTAATTAATCCCCATAGTAATTCATCCCCCATATAGTAATTCATCCCCCATAGTAATTCATCCCCCATAGTAATTCACCCCCCATATAGTAATTCATCCCCCCTATAGTAATTCATCCCCATATAGTAATTCATCCCCCATAGTAATTCATCCCCCCTAT